ACACAGGGTCACTATGAGTCAGAACATAAGCACCACTATAGTAGTTTATAAGTGATTAAGTATTTCTTTAGCATCTTTCTAAAATTTATGTATATACTGGTGGAGTTGGTGGTTATGTGCTGATTACTAGGAATCATTATTTATGTCCATTAGTGTAAAATACTCTAAATTTTCAAAATGTTGTATTTCTTATGGGAGCATGGTGGCTCATATGATAAGCACTGGCCTGCAAAATCACAAGACTTTCAGTTTGAGCCCACCAGCCACTCAGCGGGAGAAAGATGAGGCTTTCTGCTCCCATGAAGATTTAAAAGTAAAGGAAACCCTATTTAAAAGAGTTGCTATGAGTTGGAATTCACTTGTTGTTGTTGTTGTGTGCCGTGGAGTCGGTTCCGACTCATAGCGACCCTGTACAGGGTTTCCAAGGGTGTAAATCTTTACGGGAGTAGAAAGCCTCATCTTTCTCCCGCGGAGCTGCTGGTAGTTTCAAACTGCTGACCTTCAGATTCGCAGCCCGATTCATAACCACTACGCTACCAGAGTTCCTTGGAATTCACTTAATGGCACTTAATAACAACAACAAGTTCTTATCTGTTTTTAAGTAACTCTCGCTACTGAGTTTTGTCAAGGTGAAAAAATACTTTCAAAATGACTAACAAAGTGCCTGCAACGAAAGGCTCAAACAAAGCAAAAATGGTGAGGATGACATCAGACTGTTCAGGTTTCATTTTGTCATTCACTGGACTGCTTCAGTCAGAACAGACTCAACAACACCTAACAAGAAGTTAATTTTACTTGGATCCAAAAATCAAAGTCCATGGAAGCACAAGTCAAGAAATGAAATGTATTACATTGAGCAAATCTGTTGTAAAACACCTCTCGAGTCCTGGTATGGCACTGTGAGTTAATGTGCTAGACTACAAGGTCAGTTTGAACCACAAAGTCGTTAGTTCAAACTCACTAGCCACTCCTCAGAAACCCTATACAGGGTCACTATGGGTCAGACCAGACTCTATGCAACTTAGCAACAACAAAGTGTTAAAAAGAAAAGATGTCACTTTGGGAACGATGGTGTGCCTGACCCAAGCCATGGTATTTTCAACTGCCTCATATGCATGCAAATGCTGGACAATGAAGAAGGAAGACTGAAGATCAAGATACATTTGAATCATGGTACTAGGAAAGAATATTGAATATCCTATGGACAAACAGAAAAGCAAACAAAATGTTTTGGTAGAAGTACAGCCAGAGTGCTCCTCAAAAGTGAGGATGGCAAATGTTGGGGTTTAGGCCTAGAAAGGAAAAGCCTTCTGTGTATGTAGTTGCTAAGAGATCAAAAACAAAAACAAAACAAAACAAAAAAAACAACCAGGACATAATCCAAGAAATATTAATTTATTACAGAAAAGAAGAGATGGTTTGCAGACAGGGAATTTGTTGACAAGACACTTGAACAGTTGCCACCAGGGGTGGAGGCTGGACAGTGAAGGTTTTCCATGCTAGGGTTATGGGCTAGGATCTTTCTATGCCATGGGGCATGCAAGCCTTAAACACATCAGGGCAGTTCAGGGTTGTATGCAGAACAACAAAAAAAGTAGGAAAATTACAAGGTGCAGCAGGTCTACCTGCCCCTTCCTAGAACACAGAGTTTTGGGATGTGTGTAGCAGTAGGAAGGGGCTGTTGACTCCTTCCTAGCATAAACATAACAAAAGCATGAGAACAGGGAGTCCTGGTTTGCACAGTGGGAGGAGGGGGCTGACTGCTCCTTCCTAGACAGTGGGAGCAAGGGGAGGGATAAGAGATATGGCTTGTGTTGATATTAGTATGACCATTTTGGAGCATTCAGCTTGTGTACTTATAGTGAGACTTCGCCTAACATACTTTGGACATGTTATCCAGAGGGATCCTGGCAAAGGACATGATGCCTGGTAAAGTAGAAGGCCAGCAAAAAAGAGGGCATTGTTAATGAAAAGGACTGATACAGTAACTTCAGCAATGATCTCATACACAATAATGACCATGAGGATAATGCAGTGTCACTATGCAGATAATGCAGTGTAACATGGGGGCACTATGAGTCAGAATCGACTCCGTGGCACCAACCAACAAAACAGCTCATTACTGTGACAAATATTAAAAACTTAATATAAGGGTTAATTTTATCAAAGAACAAAATGGAGTCCTGTTAAAATTAATGCATTTATTGAAGTAATAACAATGGTTCAAACTAAAGAAAACACAGAGCTTCAAATTGAAACTAAGTACTCCTGTCAAGTTTTTTCAAGGTTTAAGTACATATAATTTAGCAATTTACCAAATAACAATCGGACTGACTGACATTTATAAAATCATGCTTTAGCAATCATAATATAAGGTAGTTGTTATTGTTGTTGTTGTTAAGTGCTATCAAGTCGGTTCCGACCCATAGCGACCCTGTACAGGGTTTCCGAGTCTGTAAATGTTTACGGGAGCAGAAAGCCTCATCTTTCTCCCGTGGAGCGGCTGGTAGTTTTGAACTGCTGACCTTGCGGTTCGCAGCCCGTTTTGTACCATTACGTCACCAGAGCGCTCCTTGGAGGCCAAGATGGCCAAACTTCATCTCTCATACTTCAGACATAGTGTCAGGAGTGGCCACTCACTGGAGAAAAGTATCATATTTGGTACGGTGGAGGGTCAGAGAAAAAGAGGAAGACCCTCAATGAGATGAAGTGGCCAAGTGGTAGCATCAATGGACTCAAGCGTGGCAACAGTAGTGAGGATCGGGCAGTGCTTCGTTCTGTTATGCCTAAGGTCGCTATGGGTCGGTACCGACTCGAT